TAATGAGCTGAATCGAGCCGAGCTTTTCCATAGTTCGAGTTCAGCTCGTTAATATATTTCCAGGCTCAATCTCGGCTCGTGTTCGTCACAAGCTTTAATATGCAAACTAGAGCTCGGCTCGTTTATGAAGATGAAAGCTCGAGCTCGGCTCGTCAAATAAATTTAACGAGCCCAAAATTGAGTTTAGCTCATAAAATGTTCATTATAGCTCAAGATTGACCTAGAACTGAGCACAAAATTACATTCAAACCTGTAGCAAAGTTTATCAAAGTAAAACACAATATTTATCACAATTTCAATACATAAATCCATGAATTTTAATCTTTTTTTATGCCAAACTATTAAATGAGCTTGTTCGCGAGCTTTCGAGTTGAACATGGTATGGATCAAGTTCGGCTCGTTTAGTTAACGAGCTTGTTTGCGAGCCGGCTCGATTAAGACGAATCGAGTGTCGAACGAGTTTTTCTCGAGTCGGACGGCTCGGTTCATTAACAGCCCTACTTGTGACCTTGTTTTGTACCTAATTTGTGCATATTGACTAATACAACCTATAATCACATCAAAATCAAATAGGAAGAAATAAGATGTAATTGAAATGTTTAAACGCTTAAGTACATGAATTGGTCCAAAACATACCCTGAGATGGAGGGTAAATAACACCAATTTTGGTGTTATCAAACTCCCCCACACTTAGGCGTTTGTTTGTCCCCAAGCAAACCTACTCAAACCTAATGCAATATGATAGATGAATCAATGAGGAATGCATGCTAGTTCTTCATTTCATAGATAAGAGTATACGGGGATGAATGAACGCTACTACCTTCCTACTGTGCAAGCATAAACTCTCATGTGAGAACCATATATACTAACTTGGGTCGATCATTTAAAATGTGCTCCGGGGGATTCTCCGACAACAAACTACTAATAGAACTATAAGCGGTGCTTTTATTATTTATTTTGGTGTAGGAGTTGTCATTTTTTGGTCTCTTTTCTCCGTTCATGCAGGTTGCACCGAACTCTTGCAATTTATTTCATTGCATAATAGCATCTCTCCCTCATGAGCAAGAGCGGATGAATCATAGCCTTCCCTTTCAAGGTCACATGCGGGGAAATTGATGGCCGGATTCGTCTTAGCCGAGAACCATGTCCCAGCCTGGACTCCACATTGGGTTGCCACACATGTTGGGTACAAACGAGAGCTATGAGGTCTCATGAATCGCTAAAAGGAACCTTTGGTCCTTATCATGCGATTCCTTGAGGAGGAGAGGTGTTTGCGGGATCGTAGGTAGTAAGAGATGATCGGGACGCAGTACAGCTATCCGAACCCCAAACACATCCTCGATGGGTACTCCGAGCTAAGAGAACAATCCTATGACGGTGGATCTCAATTCTTTTCCCGGTTGCCACTCACGTGAGAACCTCCTTTCTATTTTTAAGCACAAATGGAAAAAGTTCCTAGTTCTAATAAAAGGAGAGAATCTCGTAGACAATACCTTCCTAAGATAGCAAACACTATCAACTCACACTAGAGGAGGAAAGTAGTAAAATCCCTCACGTACCGATACTCAAACCATCCAACTATCACCTAAGATGCATAACACATCAATCAATCTAGTCAAATCAAAGCACATTGAGTAGGTAATTGCAAGGACAAGGTGTTTTGGAACCCTCAAATTTGAAAAAAATTGGGTGTGCATTCAAGGCTCCAGAAACACTAATATTTCATCATTCATCACCGCAACAAAGGCATGATCACTAGCATACACTCCCATAAGCATTCATCAATATCTTACATTCAAGAACAAGGGAGGATACTAGCAATAAACGGTTGCACCAATCATGATAAACATTCAAACATGCACAAACATCCCCCCACACTTGAGCAACACATTGTCCTCAATGTGGGAGTCCGCCAAGAAAAGACTATGAATGTTACCATAGGTCGGGTTGTGGGTTGGTGAAGGTTCACAAGTGTAGTCTTTGTCTTCCTGGTGGTTTTCACAACGATAAAGCGCATAAGAGAGAGAGGAAGACGAAAAGGAGTTATAGGTACGATAAATATATATATATATATATATATATATATAATAAGTACTACTACTAGAGAGAGAATATTTAAGGTACAAAAGGTAAAATGAAAATAAAGCGATAATTAAACATTGTTTTAATTTAAATAAAGAAAAGCAAAGAAAAAGAAAAGATAGAACTTAGGCCCTGGATGCCAAGAACCCATTCCTCCTCGGAGTTGTCATTAGGATCGCAGTCGTCCTCCGAGACAAGGTGATCACCAGCTGATGAAGGTGAAAGAGGGAAGCCTTGCTCAACTTCGCTCGGGCCCATGTGCATCTTCTTCATTATCATGTGGATCGCTCCCAGAAGGTGGCGCCTAGACAGCCTCTCTCGCCTCAAAAGGAAATGAACCTCCTTGTGATCCTCAATTAGCTTGGCGTTCTTTATGATGAGGATGGCATTCTGCTCGATGAGAGTTGTTATCTTTGTGGCCTGAGAGTCGAAGGATGAGGAGCATGGTGGAGGTGCTTGAATTCGAACTCTTAGTGGTCGGGGAATTATGCCTTTGTTGGTCTTCTTGGCGTTGGTGACCTCCAAAAGTTGCATCTTGGTTAGACTATCTCTAGTGAACATCTGAGTGGAGCGGATAGTTGTGCACTTGAATTCTTCCAAATTTATTCCGAAATAGAGTGCAAGGCGAGTGACATATGCTCCCTGATTTGGGCCTAAATGTACACTTTTTATCCCCGTTTCTCTTTGGCGTTTGTGGCAGTTGAGCTCCCAAAAGGGTGGTTTTAAGCTAGGTTTGTTGTGTTCAATGTGTTTCAGAGTCTAACAGGTGAACCAACCCCGGAGTCGAAAGTTGAAATAAAAGGCGCGAGGATTGGGCAAAGAGGAGGTAGCAGCCGCAGTTCACGGTCCAAGCAATGAGTTCATGGTCATCAGGACCGTGAACTGGAGCCACAAACCGCAAACTGGAGAGGTTCTAGAGAGTTTCAGAGGTTACTAACGCCGAGTCAGTTCACGGTCGTAAGACCATGAACTGAAGCCATGGACTGCGAACCAGTTAAGTGAAGTGGTGCGTTTTGGACTGAGTTCACGGTCCCCGCCATTAGTTCACGGTCGTGAACTGGGCGTGACCTGTGTATAAAAGGAGAGCTAAAAGGAGGAAGAAGGGAGAGCCCAAAGTGAGAGAAACCTTCTTCTTCTTGAAAACCTAGAGTGAGAAAGCCATGAACCAAGAGGGAGAAGAGGCTAGGGTTTGCTCCAAGTCAATATTTGGGAAGTTCCTCTTCAAGAGAGGATCTCTACAAGCACAAGGAAGGATTGAGGCATCACAATGATGGTTTTTTTCTGTGTTCTTCCTTTTTCTAGCATGGAGTAGTCTCCTTTTCACTTGGATTTTGTAGAACCCTAACTTCTACCATGTAGTTGATTGTGTGGATTGAATGATTGTGTGTGGGTTGTGTTTAATTTAAGATTTGAGGTATTTTTCATGGTGACTGCGCATTGTGTGTGCTTGGCAATCTATTGTGCTATTCTAACCTAGCTTAGAGGGAAACCCCCCTTATCTTAAGAGCTCAAATTGAGTTGGGTTTTCTTGGGCATTACATGCCTCCTATCTAGGTTAATGTAGGTCAAACATCTAAACTCAAATTGAACACCTAAGTTGATTGTGATTAAGCCGTCCAAACCCCGGTTTGAGGGAGAAGGTAAGTCAACCCTCAATTGCTTGGGCCAAGAGCGCTAACACAAAATATAAGCCATACAACTCAAATTTAGGGACAAGATGTTTGGAACCCTCAAATTTAATTGACTTTGGGTATATCATCAAGGTTCCTAACACAAAATATAAGCCATACAACACAGCAAAACAAAGGCAATCGATATTAACCACTCCCACAAACGATCATCAACTTCTTACATTCATTACTAAGGGAGGCTACCACCAACTATGACAAAAATCATTCAATCAAGCATACAACCCCCCCCCCCACCCCACCCCACACACACACTTGATTGACACATTGTCCTCAATGTGGGAATTCAAAGGTAGGTTCATGAATTGTTACCATAGGGTGTTTGGTGGCTTGGTGTAGGTGCACAAGTGTAGGTTTTTGTCTACCTGATTGGTATAGAAGGATAAAACCCATAAGTAAAAGTGAAAATAGAAGGTTGCGGAGCACGAAAAACATAGATAGATAGGTATTTAAGAGTACTACAACTACTAGGTAATTAATAGTTCGAGGCACGGAAATGAAAAGCATTGAAAATGTTGTGGAGAGACACCTTCTAAGGGGATCTCTATCTTCTCCATAATTGCATGTATGCACGCCATAAGTTGTTGCCTTGCTTCCTTCTCTTGTCCTTGGTTTTGGAGGATTATTGCTATCAACGCTTGGGTACGGTAATCAATAGCTCGGTTGATTGTTGAGGATGTCGAGTGGTAGGTTGGTTGATGTGTCACATCCTCCTCCTACATGCTCTCTTCTTGTCCTTCCTTGCCATCCACATCAATTGCATCTCTTGCTACACACCGGTTGGTAGGCGTCGGGAGACGAAACCCTTACTAGGAAATAAGCTCTAGTTCCTCTCAATAGGTTCAACCAATCATGCACACAAAAGCGATAAATCAATTACGCTTGCATCATCTCTAGCATTGTTTGGGGGAGGCATTCCTCTAGCAGGGGTTCGGCCGCTCATCCACTAAAAGAAACCCTAAGATCATTAATCTAGACCTAATTAGCTAGGCGCTCCTAGTCTAACCCTAAACTTCCCACCTAGTTTTGTAGACTCAATTGTAGGCTAGTAGAGAAGAGTTGGGAGACACGAGCCTCGGCATAATCAAGCATACCTGTAGCATAAATCACTGAAACAAACAAATCCATACTAAACAAATTCATGGGACGATATGGACCTTTGTATTTGATTTTTTTTCGGAGGGGGGGGGGGTTCTTGAGATAGACGATAGTTGATAGAGTAATTCTTGATCATAATTTCCAGTATGAGTAGTGCGGCCAATATGAAATTTTTGATTGGTAGTAAAACATTGATTCCCCCTGTTGAGGCTTAATTTGATCTTCATAAATTTCGCGAGATAGTTTTTTACGAAGTTTTGTTATAGCATCTATAATGGCCTCGGGTTTAGGAGGAAAGCCCGACAAATAGACATCTACGGGAATTACTTTATCGAATCCTCGAACAATACTATAAGAATCGATCGCGCTTGATTTTTTCCCATAAAAAAAACCTTCTCTTTACTAAGTTTGGATAGGACTCATGGTCTCCTTTTCCTTGTGTTAGAAATTTGTTAACACCAAATATTATCTGATAAAGCTAGCGCTGTTAATGAACGAAGCCGCTCATGAACGACTCGGTGTGCGACGCGAGAAAAACTCGCTCGACACTCGATTCGTTTTAATCGCGCTGGCTCACGAACAAGCTTGTTAACTAAACGAGCAGAACTCGAGCCATACCATGTTCAGTTTGAAAGCTCGCGAACAAGCTCATTTAATGGTTTGGCATAAAAAAAAGAATTAGGATTCATGGATTTTATGTATTGAAATAGGGATAAATATTGTGTTTTACTTTGCTACTGGTTTGAATGTAATTTTGTGCGCAGTTCTAGGTCAATCTTGAGCTATCATGAACATTTTACGAGCCTAACTCGATTTTGGGCTCGTTAAGCTTACTTGACAAGTGGAGCTCGAGATTTCAGTTTCGTAAACGAGCCGAACTCGAGCTTGCATATTAAAGCTCGTGTATTAGACCCCTTGTGGTCGTGTGGAAATTCCAGGGAGCTCACACGGTCAGGCTGGAAATCCACACGGTCGTGCGCTTCTAGCCGTGCAGCGTGCCTGAAGACCACTTCATTGAAACGCGGCGTTTTCACATCCACACGGGCAGACTGGAAAGCCACACGGCCGTGTGGCCTCGCCGTGTGGTCGGGAAATTCTGGGTTTTAACCCAATTTCGAGCCTAAGGAGAGAGAATTGATTTTCTGGAGCAAAAATAGAGCCCTAGAGAGAGAAAGTGCGAAGAACGCCCTCTAAGAGTGGTTTTGGAGCTGGGTTTCATCAATCAAGCTTGGAAATCATCCTTGGAGTGAAGATCACCATCCCAGAGCAGATTCTTCCCATCTTGATGAGTATGAATGCTTTGTTTGTTGTTTTCCTCTCTCTCTCTCTCTCTCTCTATGGAGTAGAACCCTTTCTCACTTGGGTATGAAGAATCCTAGTTCTATGTATTAGGGATCATTGTTGTAATGACATTTGGATTGTGATATTGTTTGATTATAATCGATTGAAGTGTGTTGATTGAGTCAATTGAAGCCTGATCATCTTTTATTGATTTCTGCTGCAACCTGAGATAGATAGAATCTGATTAGGTTGTTAGAGCTTCTTCAATCGGTAGTAGTGAATCGATTATACGAGAGTTAGTCGATTTACTGCTTTGTACTAGAATTCAATTCTAGTAGTGGAGTTCTGTGTTCATAGCCTCAGCTTTCTGCAGTACAATCAACAGTAAAGCACCCAAAAGTAATTACAACTATGACCTAACTAAGGAGCTAGGGGGACTCATTCCCGAGTGACTCTTCCCTTGCTTTAGAAAACCGAACAATTTCCTGCTTTCTTACTACTTTTAGTTAAAATCACAATCACTCGACTTAGTTAGCTAGATAATAAATAGTCACGGAGTAGGCAGTAGATCTAGGCCCTGGGTTGACAAATAGAGCTTGCCACTTACTGCATTTCGTGACTGCGATTACACTTGGTCGCAGTTTGGTGTTGTGTTTTAGCGTATCAAGTATTAGGCGCCGTTGCCGGGGAACTTCTAGGTTATTGTGGAAACGTGAAAGTTTGTTACTCTAGCTTTTTCTTTACTGCATTTTCTCTCTTCCACCTGTGTGCCTTCACGGGTTTCTTTTGCTGACTGCGTGCAGGTATTACATGACCCGTAGCCAGTCGAAAGATTTACTGCCATTAGACCAAGAGCTTGAACGGACTTGCAGGAACTTCAAGCGGGCTTTAAAGGTGCGACTGGTTGCGGAGGAGGCTCTAGCACATCTGCAAATCACCGAGGAGGAAGAAATGGGTGAACCCCAGAACAACGATGTGGTCTTTCCCGAGGAGCAGACCATGGGGTACTACTGGACCGTTAGAGCCGCGGACATGAGGTCGCCCATCCAGCACCCTCAAGTTCTAGCAAATAACTTTGAGGTGAGCACCTCTGTCATCACCATGCTGCGCGGCTCGGTGGTATTCCGTGGCAAGGAGGGGGAGTGCCCCCGATCACACCTGAGGCGATTCCACGAGCTCATCGATGGGATCAAGATCAATGGGGTCCCAACCGATGCCATCTAGCTCAGGTACTTCCCATTTACTCTGGAGGAGCAAACCAAGGAGTGGCTGGACACTCGACCTCCAGGCTCGATCACCACATTTTCCAACCTGGCGGACAAGTTCCTCACCCTCTACCATCCTTCGTCCAAGACGGCGGACCTGCAGAAGCAAATCACTCACTTTGCTCAGGATGAAGATGAGACCATTCAGGATTCTTGGGAGAGATACACCAGTCTTTTCCTCAAGTGTCCCAACCATGGTTTTACCGACGCCTTCAAGGTGGGGACCTTCTACCATGCCCTCTTCCCGGAAGACAAGCAGCTGATTGACTCAGTTTGCGGCGGAAATATGCTCACCAAGACACCGCCACAGCTGAATCAACTTTTTGAAGAGATGGCAGAGCAGAGCAATGATTGGGGAACTGTGAGGCGATCGAGGCGAGCACCAGGGCGGGGTGTGCATGTTGTAGCCACCCAGGCGTCTGATTTGGTGCAGGTGGTATCGAAACTGGTTTCATCCATCGATCGCTTTGGAATGATTTTCGGGACTGGACAGCAGCAGGCGATGCATTGCTAGTGGTGCGAGAGCACCCATCACACTATGGAAGACTGTCAGGAGATGAGGGAGTCGACTACACCCCAGGAGCAGGTGAACTTCATCAACAATGCTAGGCGCACTGACCCCTACAATAACACTTACAACGAGGGGTGGCGCCAACATCCCAACTTCTCCTAGGTTGGGTCCAATCTTAGACCACCAGTCTCCCAAGGACCGCCAGGCTTCCAGAGGCCGTCATATCAGCCCAGGCAGGGGCAATTACAGCAACAGCAGCAGTCTCCCTACCAGCCCATGCAGGGCCATGCTGCTCAACCACAGTCGCGACCCTTCCAGCAGCCAGGTGCAGCCCCTGCAACCCCAGTGCAGAATGATCCGATAGCTGAAATGCGGGACTTGGTGGGTTCTCTTGCTAGTTCCAGTGCTCATAAATTCAACACTATCGAGCAGTTCATGGAAAAGGCCTCGGGTAAATTCCTGGTTCTTGAAGTTGGCCAGAGGAACACACAGGCTATCTTGCAGGATATCCAGATCCAGCAGGGGAGTGTGGCTCAATAGCTTGCTTGGTCATACCATTCCTAATCCGAAGGACCCGAATGCCAACTGTAATGTTATCCCTACAAGGAGCGGCAAAGTGATTGCAGACCCACCTGTCCTGGCCAGACAAGCGGGAGGGAGACCTGCCTCGGCATTTCCAACTTTTGAAGAAGAAGCGGAGAAGGAGGTTGAGGTGCCTGCTCCTAAGCCGCAACCAGTAGTGAATGAGTATGTCCCTCAACTCCCCTTCCCTACTCGGTTGCACAAAGACAGGCTAGAGGCAGAATTCAGGAACTTCATGTCCATGCTAAGGAAGCTGAATGTCCAAGTACCCTTCCTGGAGGCACTATCTCAAATGCCTAAGTATGCGAAGTTCCTGAAGGATCTTCTCTCAAAGAAGCAGAAGCTAAGCGAGCTGGTCACTGTGGAGCTCAGCGAGGAGTGTTCAGCCATTCTGCAGAACAAGCTTCGGCCGAAGCAGAAGGACCCAGGTAGTTTTACTATCCCGTGCTCTATAGGTAAATTGCATGTAGAGAGGTCCTTGGTGGATCTAGGTGCTAGTATCAATGTTATGCCATATAAATTGTTCAAGAAACTAGGCCTAGGTGAACCCAATGCAACTAGGATGAGTATTCAATTAGCTTACCGATCTATAGTTCATCCTAGGGGCATAGTGGAAGACCTTTTGGTTAAGGTGGGCAGATTCTTTTATCCTGTGGATTTTGTTGTCTTGGACATCAATGAAGACACAGAAGGGCCCCTTATACTGGAAAGGTCTTTCCTGGCCACGGCCAAGGCTCTCATAGATGTACATGATGAGACCTTAATCTTGAGGGATGGTGAGGAGCGAATAACATTTTCCATTGCTAATACTCTCCCTGCTTCATCGCCTTTGCATATTGTTTCTGATCAGGTACACGAGGCTGTCGTGTATCCGTTTGTGTCTCCCATTTTGCAGGATTTTGCGCCCCCTCCTCCTCCACCGCCCTCGCATTCTTAGTTACCACCTGAGCGGATTAAGGAGGAGTGGCGGCCGAAACAGCAGGCAGCGAAGCCTGCTCAAAAGACAGCCGGAGACCACTATGAGCTGGTCCCGCCTCCTAAGCCTCGACCGCCTTGGCCATCCGAGTATTCACTCGCTTGCATCCTTCCGGATGGCCAGGTCGAGTTGACGAGTGCTGGTGGTCACACCTATCGTGTGCATGGCCACCATCTGAAGTTGTACCTCAAGAGCGATGTGGATCCGCTTTTGGAGGCACCCTGTTCCTTCACCTCTCTGAGCATCCACCTTACTGGCGTCCAGCTAAAAGACGGTAAAAAGCGCTTGTGGGGAGGCAACCCCACCAAGGTTTGTTTTCCTTTCGTTTATTTTCGGTTTGTCTACTTGGAACTATGGTTTCTATCACCCAGTGTGTTTTGCTGATGCTAGCCCCACTGACAATCCACTTCCAGTCCCCCGGCAGTCTTTCCTTCCGGTAACATTGTTCCCCTTATCTTTGTATTGGTTGGAATCTATATAAGTGTGTTTGGAGCCTAATCCGCTGTCCAAATCTTAAGATTTGAGGGCTCCAATTACTGAGGTTTGCATTATCATATTGGCACTGTGGATTTGATTGGTGAATCGAATGGCTTTCGAATCAATGCATGACAACTTGATTGTAACTAGGAAAACCTATGATGATGACTGAGACGTGCAGTAGAATTGTGTAGGGGTTCAGTTTTTTTCAACTGTTTGCTTGCCAACTGTGACTTGGATTGATCACTTGCTCTTGACAGTC